TACCTCTCCGCTAATACTTGAGTATTTCTTTTTTTTTTTTTCTTTTTTTTTAGCCAGTCACGATGTTGTACTTTTAATGACACTCCTTACCTGGAATGTCTAATGAGACTCGAGCTAGCTCCAGACGTCAAGTGGAAATCTCTAAAGCTGCTGGAGAAATGGTCTCTTCCTTGTAGCAGCCCAGAAAGAACCCGAGTCCTTCTGCCCTACCCAGTCACCACAAGAGCCAGATCAAACCAAAAATGGAGAATAGATGTCACATCTGGCCTGGGGCGGCACAATCACCACTTTCTGTCTTGACAGTATTCCAAAGTGTTTGCGACGCCTTCTGGGTGATGAATAGCTTTACACCCTACAGTTACTTTCACACAGACGAAACATCACTAGCCTCACGCTACTGCCATGGTATATAGTCGGGTGGACTGCGTTTCTTCGTTCCATCAGTCCAAATGTTCACTGTTAGCACCCACCATGCCACTTACACTGAGATCGGCTCATTCTCATTCCTTTTGTATTCCATTGTTAAAGAGGAAATTCAACTCAGACAGAACAGACTCCCAAGAGGATGGTTCCTCGATTACTAACATCCTCTTTCTCTTCGTATTCCATTGGTAAGGAGGAAGTTACACTTAGGCAGCTTGTTTCCGAGAACCGCTACTTTATAGAATAGAGTCCCAAGAGGATTCTTCCTCTATTGCTATCGCCTCCATTCCCTTCGTATTCCATTGGTAAGGAGAAAGTTCCACTTAGGCAAATTGTTTCTGAGAACCGCTACTTTATAGAATAGAGTCCCAAGAGGATTCTTCCTCTATTGCTATCATCCCCATTCCCTTCGTATTCCATTGGTAAGGAGGAAGTTCCACTTAGGCAGCTTGTTTCTGAGAACTGCTACTTTATAGAATAGAGTCCCAAGAGGATTCTTCCCCTATTGCTATCATCCCCATTCCCTTCGTATTCCATTGGTAAGGAGGAAGTTCCACTTAGGCAGCTTGTTTCCGAGAACTGCTACTTTATAGAATAGAGTCCCAAGAGGATTCTTCCTCTATTGCTATCATCCCCATTCCCTTCGTATTCCATTGGTAAGGAGGAAGTTCCACTTAGGCAGCTAGTTTCCGAGAACTGCTACTTTATAGAATAGAGTCCCAAGAGGATTCTTCCTCTATTGCCATCATCCCCATTCCCTTCGTATTCCATTGGCAAGGAGGAAGTTCCACTTAGGCAGCTTGTTTCCGAGAACCGCTACTTTATAGAATAGAGTCCCAAGAGGATTCTTCCTCTATTGTTATCATCCCCATTCCCTTCATATTCCATTGGTAAGGAGGAAGTTCCACTTAGGCAGTTTGGTTCCGTGAACCCCTACTTTATAGAATAGAGTCCCAAGAGGATTCTTCCTCTATTGCTATCATCCCCATTCCTTCGTATTCCATTGGTAAGGAGGAAGTTCCAGTTAGGCAGCTTGTTTCTGAGAACTGCTACTTTATAGAATAGAGTCCCAAGAGGATTCTCCCTCTATTGCTATCATCCCCATTCCTTCGTATTCCATTGGTAAGGAGGAAGTTCCAGTTAGGCAGCTTGTTTCTGAGAACTGCTACTTTTATAGAATAGAGTCCCAAGAGGATTCTTCCCCATTGCTATCATCCCATTCCTTCGTATTCCATTGGTAAGGAGGAAGTTCCACTTAGGCAGCTTGTTTCCGAGAACTGCTACTTTATAGAATAGAGTCCCAAGAGGATTCTTCCTCTATTGCTATCATCCCCATTCCCTTCGTATTCCATTGGTAAGGAGGAAGTTCCACTTAGTCAGCTTGTTTCCGAGAACCGCTACTTTATAGAATAGAGTCCCAAGAGGATTCTTCCTCTATTGCTATCATCCCCATTCCCTTCGTATTCCATTGGTAAGGAGGAAGGTCCACTTAGGCAGCTTGTTTCCGAGAACCGCTACTTTATAGAATAGAGTCCCAAGAGGATTCTTCCTCTATTGTTATCATCCCCATTCCCTTCGTATTCCATTGGTAAGGAGGAAGTTCCACTTAGGCAGCTTGTTTCCGAGAACCGCTACTTTATAGAATAGAGTCCCAAGAGGATTCTTCCTCTATTGCTATCATCCCCATTCCCTTCATATTCCATTGGTAAGGAGGAAGTTCCACTTAGGCAGTTTGTTTCCGTGAACCGCTACTTTATAGAATAGAGTCCCAAGAGGATTCTTCCTCTATTGCTATCATCCCCATTCCCTTCGTATTCCATTGGTAAGGAGGAAGTTCCACTTAGGCAGCTTGTTTCCGAGAACCGCTACTTTATAGAATAGAGTCCCAAGAGGATTCTTCCTCTATTGCTATCATCCCCATTCCTTTCGTATTCCATTGGTAAGGCGGAAGTTCCACTTAGGCAGCTTTTTTCCGAGACCCGCTACTTTATAGAATAGATTCCCAAGAGGATTCTTCCTCTATTGCTATCATCCCCATTCCCTTCGTATTCCATTGGTAAGGAGGAAGTTCCAGTTAGGCAGCTTGTTTCTGAGAACTGCTACTTTATAGAATAGAGTCCCAAGAGGATTCTTCCCCTATTGCTATCATCCCCATTCCCTTCGTATTCCATTGGTAAGGAGGAAGTTCCACTTAGGCAGCTTGTTTCCGAGAACTGCTACTTTATAGAATAGAGTCCCAAGAGGATTCTTCCTCTATTGCTATCATCCCCATTCCCTTCGTATTCCATTGGTAAGGAGGAAGTTCCACTTAGTCAGCTTGTTTCCGAGAACCGCTACTTTTATAGAATAGAGTCCCAAGAGTTCTTCACCCTATTGCTATCATCCCCATTCCCTTCGTATTCCATTGGTAAGGAGGAAGTTCCACTTAGGCAGCTTGTTTCCGAGAACTGCTACTTTATAGAATAGAGTCCCAAGAGGATTCTTCTCTATTGATATCATCCCCATTCCTTCGTATTCCATTGGCAAGGAGGAAGTTCCACTTAGGCAGCTTGTTTCGAGAACCGCTACTTTATAGAATAGAGTCCCAAGAGGATTCTTCCTCTATTGCTATCATCCCATTCCTTCATATTCCATTGGTAAGGAGGAAGTTCCACTTAGGCAGTTTGGTTCCGTGAACCCCTACTTTATAGAATAGAGTCCCAAGAGGATTCTTCCTCTATTGCTATCATCCCCATTCCTTCGTATTCCATTGGTAAGGAGGAAGTTCCACTTAGGCAGCTTGTTTCCGAGAACCGCTACTTTTATAGAATAGAGTCCCAAGAGGATTCTTCCTCTATTGCTATCATCCCATTCCCTTCATATTCCATTGGTAAGGGAGGAAGTTCCACTTAGGCAGTTTGTTTCCGTGAACCGCTACTTTATAGAATAGATTCCCAAGAGGATTCTTCCTCTGTTGCTATCATCCCCATTCCCTTCGTATTCCATTGGTAAGGAGGAAGTTCCACTTAGGCAGCTTGTTTCGAGAACTGCTACTTTATAGAATAGAGTCCCAAGAGGATTCTTCCTCTATTCCCATCATCCCCATTCCTTCGTATTCCATTGGCAAGGAGGAAGTTCCACTTAGGCAGCTTGTTTCCGAGAACCGCTACTTTATAGAATAGAGTCCCAAGAGGATTCTTCCTCTATTGTTATCATCCCCATTCCCTTCATATTCCATTGGTAAGGAGGAAGTTCCACTTAGGCAGTTTGGTTCCGTGAACAGCTACTTTATAGAATAGAGTCCCAAGAGGATTCTTCCTCTATTGCTATCATCCCCATTCCCTTCGTATTCCATTGGTAAGGAGGAAGTTCCACTTAGGCAGCTTGTTTCCGAGAACCGCTACTTTATAGAATAGAGTCCCAAGAGGATTCTCCCTCTATTGCTATCATCCCCATTCCCTTCGTATTCCATTGGTAAGGAGGAAGTTCCAGTTAGGCAGCTTGTTTCTGAGAACTGCTACTTTATAGAATAGAGTCCCAAGAGGATTCTTCCCCTATTGCTGTCATCCCCATTCCCTTCGTATTCCATTGGTAAGGAGGAAGTTCCACTTAGTCAGCTTGTTTCCGAGAACCGCTACTTTATAGAATAGAGTCCCAAGAGGTTTCTTCCCCTATTGCTATCATCCCCATCCCCTTCGTATTCCATTGGTAAGGAGGAAGTTCCACTTAGAATCCTTACCGTAACTCTTTCAAGTCAGGTTTCAACAGTTATCGACCCTATATATCGCTTGGTTCACACTCCTCCCCGGTCTTTTGAACAGGAATAGAAGTTTATTCCTCATTTTCTCTTTAGGATCTGGTTTACGGTTTCCTCTCTTAAAGTCTTCTATTTTTCTTTCTCGGACAGCAATCGCTTCCGTCTTAGTGACATTATTGCCTTGTCTGGGGTGAAATGATTAAAAAAAATGCTTATGTGATGTACGGTGACCGCTAATAATTAAGTATAACTCAAGACTTCAATGTTAAGATAAAAAAAAGTATTTAATTACAATCACAAATAAATACTTAAGAAATAAATACAAGAACAAAGAAGTAAAAAGTCAACCAAAAGATAATTAACCATTTCAGTGAATACCTTGTTAGTAGCGCGGCTCGGCTTAACGTCCAGTAAATCCTAAATCAAAACTCAAATCATCGACGCACAATAATTCACACTAATTCGACTGGATAGTTCCACTCAATAGTCACTGTAGTCAGCAGCCTGACACCGCTATTTATACACATGGCGGAAAACACGCTCGAACCTCGTTGTCTGTAGTTATTCATTTTCTTCCCATATGACAAAAGCAAAATTCTCATAATATAGACCTTTTCCTTCATTCTTTCCGCTCTGTATAGTTTTACAACAATGTCAAAAAGTAACACTCTATCTTGACTGGCTCTTGGTCCTTGTATTTGCTGAATAATTGTAGAAATCTTCCCTAAAATCTTCTCCTGTAATCCACTTCTGCTTGGCTTGTAAAAAAAAAAAAAAAGAAAGAAAAATCAGAGTAGAAGAAAGTGCCGATGGCATGAATTTGTTTAAGGTGTACCTCAGT